ATATAAAACATTCATAGTTTTATTAAATGAACATGCCCTCAGACACTGTTTCCTGCAAGATGTTGCGGCAGTGCCCCGGTACCGGGGTCTCTCGGGCTTAACAGGTTAAGAGTTTGGAAAAATTGCAAATTGGAAATAATGTGTAATTCTGAAACATGTTAACCTGTTTCACACCTTCCCCCCGGTACCGGGCGGATAAACGCGTCATTTGCAGGAAACAACGTCTAAGGAATCTTAATATTGAATAAAACTATGAATGTGTTATATCCATGTAACGGGAAGAAACTCAGCTAACTGATCTTTTTAATTTTTTTTTCAAAAAAAACCCACAATGCTAGCACTCAGCCTCTGAATTAGCCTCGACGAAAAAACGTAACCTACAAAGGCACATAAACTCACTCAGAACTCCCTTATTACTTATCCTAGATGCACAACCAAACACTCTTTTTTGGTGTCCTGGAGACACTGAATCTAACGGTGCCCTCCTCAACACTCAGTGATAAACATTCGCGACGCTCTAAACGAAAGCGTACATCATCACATGTGGAGCTAAGAAGCTAAATGGTAAATATGGCTTACCTTGGTCAAAAGTGGTCTTCAATGGCATTAAAACGATAAAAAAACGATGCTGCAGTTAATCCATAGGTTCATCCTATGTGTCTGTGCCTTCTTTGAAATTATTTCTGATAATCCATAAGCAATACAACTGCGTTTTAGTTTATAAATTCCAGAAGGAGACATTCCTCTACTTTGGTTTCGTTTTCCACACGCGAAGCAACCACATTTTTTCTTTACAACCTGTCTGGGTGGGAGCCTCCCCCTTCGATTCTATTGGCTCTAACGGTCACAAGGGTATGTCAACCAACCAAATCGAGCAAGGGGGGCCAGAGATAGGTCAAATCCACCCAAATGACCCCAGATGGCCCAGTTTTTGGCTAAATCTCTCTAAAAAGGTCAAATTTCACTTGTTTTGCATCAATCTTGATACAGGGTACTTATTATATGTTGTACTTTGGATTCCTGAAGCTTTTAGTCTACTAACCCATCATCCAAGGGTAGTTTTCACTATCTGTAAAAAATCATTTTTGGACGGACACTATAATTTACAGTTTTTTACTATGTAAAATCTGAATTTTCTTTAAAATAAAAAACATTTATATTGATTCTGACACTTCTACATCCACCTCACAGGTTTATCATTACTTTGAGAACAAAGATTATTAATTTAACCCTTTTAGAAGGGAAGATATGGTCATTTGTTCTGGGAATGTCATTTTCGAGCCTGAGACCTGAAAAACAGGCTCAGAGTGGAACAGGTTAAAGGTAGGGTAGTTTGAGAAACCGGCTCGAGATACACTTTTTGTTATATTCCATGGAATGCTCTTAACATCCCGATAGCAATGAATATCTTAAGTGCTTTGACAAAAAATCCATAACAAAATATCATCTGTGGAAGCCGTAATACTGTAAAAAGTACGACCAATGATTTTAGCCGGCCCGGCTAAAATAACTGGATGGCCTGCCTGTCAGCCTTCCATCTGTGCACTAACTTATCTCGTGCCCTCATTGGTCATGTGCGCGTTCGTGTGTTGGAGGAGGGGCTCTATAAGGAAGTGCCAGATTTTCTCCGGTTGTGTATTTTCAAATTCTAGCGATCTCGAGCCGGTTTCTCAAACGTACCTACCCTACCTTTAATATAGAAGAGTAAAAAATGTTTTAATAACCAAATAAAAAAAAGTCAGAATTCTGACGTCTGAAGTAAAATAATTACAGTTATGGGGAAATAGTAAGTATTATGAAAATAAATGTATAATGAAAAAATATACAATATTATTAAAAAAAGTCACAATTATGATAAAAGATGTCGCAATTATGAAAAAAGTCCATATTACGAAAAATCACTTCTGAAAAATGTAACAAATTCGGAGAAAAATCTGATTTCAATTAAATTCAGAAAGAAATACAAAAATCTGAAAAGTCTTTGAAATAAAAGAAAACATCAAATTTGATTAAAGGTGGGGTAGGTAATTTTGGAGAAACCAGCTCGAGTGCGCTAGAATTAGAAAATACACAGCCGGAAAAAATCTGCCACTTCCTTACAGAGCCCCTCCTCCAACACACACGAACGCGCACATGACCAATGAGGGCACGAGATAAGTTTCTGCACAGATGGAAGGCTGACAGGCAGTTAGGCCATCCATTTATTTTAGCCGGGCCGGCTAAAATGATTGGTCGTGCTTTTTACAGTACTACGGCTTCCACAGATGAAATGTTTTGATGGATTTTTTGTCAAAGCACTTAAAGCTCCCATGTCATGCTTTTCCAGTTATTACCCGTCCCCTTGTGTGTTATGAAGGTTTTTATGCATGTAAACGGTGTGCAGAGTCAAAACCCTCAAAGTACACCCTGTAGCGAGTAAAACTCTAAAACAGAAAATACCTCCCCAAAACGCCTCGTTGGAGATACATCACTGTCCATTTGTTCCGGGTACCGCATGATGCGGTACCCGGAACAAAATGGACCAATCCGGAAGAGCTATGGTCCTGTTTCCTGAAATGTGTGGAGAAATCTGAGCTGTTTGTCCTACCGACGGAAGAACCACGACGAAGTCAGTGGTTTGAAATGTCTTTTTTAACACTGTTCCTTCAGAGGTTCGAAGAACGCTACTGTGTGCGCGGCATTTCACAGACGAATGCTTCCAAAACATTGCCCAGTTTGAGGCCGGATATGCATAGCATTTGAAACTGAAGGACGATGCTATTCCTAGTTTGTTTGGACCGTTTGGAGCAGGGGAAGATGCGGGTACACAACCTGTAAGTTTGCATTGTTATTTGTGTATTTATCAAACAAGACTGTTTAAATGTGTAAACTGTGTCGGACTGCTAAGCCATTGACACAGTGCTAACTGTGCTAACTAAGTTGCTAGCGCTTCCATATATCAACTCTAATATCAGCAGATGGCCTTGCATACATGTATCTCATAGCAGGAGAATGTCTGCATTCACACACAAAATACTCATAGACAGTATAATTCGGGTGATTTGCCGTACGGTCAATCGCAAAACGTAATTACATTATAGCTGGCGTAGCGTGTATGCTACCGAGCTAACCACGGAGCGAGACATGGGTTTGCTCTGGAATATTTTTTGTTATGCCAGCTACAATGAATGTAGCAGACTACCCGTATAATATTGCAATTGTAAACACGTTTTTGCTAGCCTAATATGAATCACTAGCTTTTGTTCATAGTGGTTTTATTACACTAAACAAGCCAAGCTTACTGGGCTAACGACGTTGCTAGCGTTTAAATATATCAACTACAATGTCAGCAGATGGCCTTACATGTTTGTCATGGCAGGAGAATGTCTGCAGTCACACACGGAATACTCATACAGTATACATTGTGACAGTACATGTACATACTGCATGTATAGCTAACGAGGCTAGCTATACATGCTAGCGCAAAACAATGTATTCATGCCAGTTACAATGAATGACCGAACTTAGCAGACTACCCGTATAAGATTGCAATTATAAACACGTTATTGCTAGCCTAATATGAACCACTAGCTTTTGTTCATAGTAGTTTTATTACACTACATTATAGTTGCCGTTCCTCCGAGCTAGCGTTCATATCGTGTTAGCTACCAAAGTAAACAAAGCTAGGTTAGCATATTAGCTGGCAAGCTTACTGTGTTCATTAGATAGATGGATTAGATAGATCCACACTCCTACCACAACTACTACTAACGAATCTAAAACAACTAAGTTTCTCTAATATTTTGTGATTTGCATTTGATTTCGTCCAGCCAGATCCTGCCGGACAATACATGACGGGACTACCACACTGATGCATCGTCCTAAAAAGCCCCGGCTGCGATAGGCAAGATGCCGACAACGGGGAGGAATTGATGATATACCGTGTATATATGTATATTTATGTTCATTTTGTATATTTCTAAAAATAAAGTTTAATGGAAATACTTAGTAGGCCTATCCTTTATTCCCTGAATTATTTGCTCCTATAACATATCATTCATATATAGCAAACCATGATTTGATTTCTCATCAAACAGTAGTAGTTTATTACAGGTACAAATAACTTACTCTTTGTTATGACCGGCTCGTAGGCCACAACGGAAAGACAGGGAGACATACACGAGTTTACAAATCCACGGCACATTTATTGTGGTAAATGCAGAGATAGGTGGTAGAGGGGAGAGGATCGCCGAGTTCGTCCTTCTGCAGCCGCTTTGGAGAGAGACAGGGGCCGCCGTGTGACTCCGGGCAGCTGGGCTTAATAGCACCTCGGCTCCAGCCAGGTGTCCGTGATCGCGCTGATTAGCCTCTTCAGCTCCACCCCATCGTAAGACCTGCAACACACCTGCACAAAGGCCCTGGGGCCGTCACACTCTTCTATAACAACAGTTGTAGGTACAGTTCGGTTAGTTAGCGTATAAAATATACGGCTGTACCGACGCCATTATAAGACTGATGTTCCGAGAGCGAGCCGAAAAAAGCAGTTAGACATGGGCGGAGCCTCTCTGGTGGTTGACTAATCAGAACAGAGTGGCTGAGCTGACCAATCGGAGCACACTAGGCTCACAGGGAGGGGGGGGGGGCAAGAGCTCCAACAAGTCGTTTAGTGGAGAGAGTGAATACTGCTGAATACACATACTTTACAGAGATGCTCTATGCGAAACCAATGTGAGTTTGGAAAATTGCACAGTATAAATCTGTTTTAGTATACCTCAACAATGTAATTATGATCAGTGGAAATGGCCATGACATGGGCCCTTTAAGATATTCATTGCTATCGGGATGTTAAGAGCATTCCATGGAATATAACAAAAAGTGTATCTCAAGCCGGTTTCTCAAACTTACCTACCCCACCTTTAAGTATGATTTGGTCATATAAAATCAAATGGGCTTGTTTCATTTTTGTAGATCTCTGCACGATGGCCTCTCACTAACTCTTTGTCTCTCGCTGTATATTTTAGGAACGGAGAAGAAGAAAGCAAACCGAACCTCACATCTGTGACCAGTGTAACAAATCCTTCTCAACATCTAATACTTTAAAGATTCATCAATGCATTAACACTGGAGAGAAACCGTACAGCTGTGACCAATGTGGCAACACTTTCAATACTCCATTTGAACTTCAGTCACATTATCGTATTCACACTGGAGAGAAACCATACAGCTGTGACCAGTGTGGGAAAACCTTTGCTCAGAAAGGCAACCTTTCATCTCATCAGCGAATTCATACTGGAGAGAAACCCTACAGCTGTAAACAGTGTGGCAAACAATTTACTGAGAAAGGTCACCTTCAAACCCACCAGCGAATCCACACTGGAGAGAAACCACACAGCTGTGAAGAGTGTGGGAAAACTTTCACTACTTCAAGTAAACTCACAGTCCATCATCGTATTCACACGGGAGAGAAACCATACTGGTGTGAAGAGTGTGGGTCAACTTTCACTACATCAAGTAAACTCAAAGTCCATCATCGTATTCACACGGGAGAGAAACCATACTGTTGTGAAGAATGTGGGAAAACGTTCACTACATCAAGTACACTCACAGTCCATCGTCGTATTCACTCAGGAGAGAAACCATACTGGTGTGAAGGGTGTGGGAAAACGTTCACTACACCAAGTGATCTAAAAAAACATTGTCGTATTCACACGGGAGAGAAACCATACAGCTGTGAACAATGTGGGAAAGCCTTTTCACGAGGTAGTCAACTTAAAGTCCACGAGCGCACTCACATTGCGCCGTTTTGAATAACTTTGAGAGCCAAGCCAGCTGTTACTTCTCCTAATGTCCTGATAGCTGTATTGTTATACACTCCTGAACAAAAATCTGAAAACCGGGTGGAGAATTGACCAGAATTCCCATTTCGTACTGGTGGATCATAACCAGCTTGTAAGTAGAGCTTCAAAATGCAAAAACAAGAAACAGTAGCAAGAGACCAAAAGAGAAAGTAGGCAATTTATTGAAACCTGAATTTACACTCAAACAGGCTGATTACCAGCGCATAAAAAATGTAAGACAATAGCCAAAAAAACTGAAATTAAAGTGTAAAAAATGAACCCAGTAATGAGTTACCCCACCAGTGTTGTTGATAACTTCAAACATTTATTTAGGCAAGCTTGATGCAAGTGTTTCCATGCGGCTTTTGGGAACGTTGCTCCATATGGTGATTCACGAAGGGCATCCACGCTCTGGAACTCATGTCCGTTTTTGTAAACTTCCCTTGCCTTCCATCCCCAAACGTTCTCAATCGGATTTAGATCAGGATAGTACAGAAGAGTGACGTTATTCTCCTGGAAGAAGTCCTTAATCAGGGGGTTGTTTTTCGGTTGAAAGACCCAGTCACCACCATTGAAGGAAGAAGGACCCCATATCATAATGGATTCTCCTAAAGTTGGAAGCCATCAGGACAATCCAAGTTACAAAACCTTCCACGGTTCAATGTCCCATTTTGTATGCTCCATTGCAAAGTCCAGACGGCAAGTTTTTGACGCGTAAGGAGACGTAGCATTCGAATACTTTTGTTGTTCTTCAAGCCCTTCTCTCCCAGATGTCGTCTTATCAGAATCAGAAACAGGTTTATTACAATGTAGGTTGACGTGAACAAGGAATTTTGACTTGGTGTCGTGGTGCAAAAATTAAAAACACAGATAGAAAACTATTTTGGTTATTGGGCTGCAGTCAGCATCTGTAATGGCCTTAATTTGGGTCAAGTTTTGGCCTGTGTCTTTACGGAAAGCCCATAGGATCATTCGGCGCAGCTGAAATGTTTTTGGGGTCTACCACTTGACTTTTATTATCCACAATCGTGCCACGTTCAAAGACAGAAAGCCTTTTGCCATCAGGAGGTCATGACAGTTTGAATGCCTGACATGAAAGCCACATTTTTGCGCAGATTTTGACTTTTTAAGGCTATGGTCTTAAACTTTTGATCAGAAGTTTTCAATATATTGTCTACTGCTATATCTATTGCATTTTGCAGCAGTTTTTCCTATCATTGTAATTAAGTAGCCTAGTTTTTGTTCTTCCTATGAATGTGGCAGATGTCACTTAAAGGGGACCTATCATGCAAAATGCACTTTTGTACGTCTTTTATACATGAATATGTGTCCCCGGTGTTCCAGGGAACTCACCAAGTGTCAGAAAACACAACCCTCTCTATTTTCCTCCATACCCAAATCTCTAAAAAAGGGGCTGCAACGGATCTGATGAAAACTGATCCAGATTTGAACACTGTCCTGACGTCAGGACGGTGGCGCTACGGCTATTGGGCCAACTCCACCAATCAGGAGGAGACAGCCACGGCCATTGCCGTTCGAAAGCGCTGGAGACGCTGTAGTACATATGCCAGGCCTGTAAGTGGCGCTGTAGTCTGCCACAAAAGCAGTGAAGAAGACTTGGTTACCATGGTTACCCTTCTGTTTATTCTCCGCTGTGGCTTTCTTTCTCCCTCCCCGAGGCAAGCGTTTGCTCCCGCTGCAATGCAATCCCTCCCCGTCGAGGCAAGCACTGTAATTCTCTCCGGTTAGTCCACCAGCAGATGGCAAACACCCACCTCTCCGCCTCTTCCAAGGAACGAGGGGACCGTGCGGCAGAGTTTCAGTTTCAGTTTGTTTCGCCGGTCAAGATGTCCGTTAAAGTTAAAATCTTCCGGACAAAATTAGAAAAGTGCCCGTCAAAGGTCTTCTTTGTTATTTATTGAGCTTGAAAACAAATGAATAACGACTCTATATAATAAAACACGGAGATCTCTTTTTCTCCCCCTCTTCTGACAGCCCGTCAGCTGATCAGAGCACGTCTCCCCACTCCTGCAGGGGGGCGTGGTCAGCAAAATCAGTCAGCGAAATGAGGCATGGCTAAAATGCATGATCTGTTTGGTATTTTGAAAACAGAAACGTATAAATATACCTTATATAGGTATGGCCCTACAATATATCATTTAAATATAGCATGATAGGTTTCCTTTAATTCTTCTACGAGTAACTATGTTTTTGTCCTTTGTGGGAATTATTTTAAATTCTCTATTTAGTTTTTCTCATTTATTTTGTTTTCTCATGACTGTGTGATTTTTGCCGTCTGCTTTAATATCTGAAGCTGTGCACATGTATCTTGTTTTGAATTTTTTCATTAAATGTTTCAACATAGATATGCTTTGACTCATAATTCTTAATCATGAATCAAGGTTTCTTTCCAGCTGTTATTGATTTTCAATAGAATAAATAAAGTTAACTCGTCAGTGTTGCAAACTGTTATACTTTTCATATCCTGACACTGTTTGAGTTTAGTTCAAATGGCGAGTTTAAACTTTTCCATTTAGATTTAATATAAAAAATCTACATTTATCAATTTGAATACAAAAATGTGGGAGTAGTTTCATAAAGTCCATCTTTAAATCTCCCACAGCCCTCTGCAAGTTTACAAAAGAGAAGGGATTTTATTAACTCCTTCAAAATGAAATGTATTTAAATGTTCCTGTATGAAACCTCTATAAAGTCCTATATATGTTGAGACATTTTATTAAAAAAAACGTTTTGATCTTTTACATTCATTTCTTAATATCGTCTGTATATATTATACTTGCTATTCAATTATCTGTTATATCTGCAGTTGCCATTTTAGTGAGCATCGAGTTCAGAATGTGTGTTGCCCAACATCGTATTTGCTTCATGTGTGTAACTTTCACTGAATAGTTTTTATTCCAAATTTTGGTTCAATGGAAATATTTGAGTTGCTTTTTTGTTACTTTTTTTTGTATTTACTTCAGGTGATTTTCTAAAAACTAAGACACGTTAGGTATGAGAAGTGATAAAGTACATTTGTGACGTTCTTGTTTTGTTTGAATAAACATTGTTCGTGTGAAACTCTGATATAATATTATCAAATGTTGATAATGAGTTGTGTAAACTGAAATAGCCTGAAGTCCTTTGAGGAACTCTTCTACTTCTTAAACTCATTGTGTGTCCATCATTGTTGCTGAGAGCTGATTGTTCATATCTTCACTGCACAGAGATCAACTGTCAATCAAACATTATGGGATGTGCTTTAACATCTTCTCATGAGTTGTTCTGTAGATGTTGGAGTTTCTTTAGGCGGCGCTCCTTCCTGTGTCTGTTTAGCCATGGAGGCTGTCACTGCTCAGGAGGATTTCTGTTAACCTCAACTCATATTTCTCTGCATGGAAATGTAAACTTTGCTCTAAATATTTGTTATCACTACTATGTAAAAACAAAAAGACACATTTATAATTACATGAATTATTTTGACAGATTACATATTATTGTTGCTGCCTATATTAAAGGTAGGGTAGGTAAGTTTGAGAAACCGGCTCGAGATCGCTAGAATTTGAAAATACACAACCGGAGAAAATCTGCCACTTCCTTACAGAGCCCCTCCTCCAACACACACGAACGCGCACATGACCAATGAGGGCACGAGATAAGTTTGTGCACAGATGGAAGGCTGACAGGCAGGTAGGCCATCCAGTTATTTTAGCCGGGCCGGCTAAAATGATTGGTCGTACTTTTTACAGTACTACGGCTTCCACAGATGACATTTTTGTATGGATTTTTTGTCAAAGCACTTCATTCATTGCTATCGGGATGTTAAGAGCTTTCCATAGAAGATAACAAAAAGTGTATCTCGAGCCGGTTTCTCAAACTTACCTACCCTACCTTTAAGTAAAAAAATGAGGTACGCAGATGTTTTAAAATGTAGTTAATCATGTGTTTATTTTAATGTCATGATCATAATCAATAAGTAAATCATTTTTTATTCTCCTGTCAATATGGAAGAGTCTTTGTGTGGGATTTTTTAATATATATTATTACAATTTCTTATTGCAGACTTACTGTGGTTGTTGTTGTACACATTAACTACTATGATGTTTTATAAAACTGTAAATATCATGATAATAATCAACAAGTAAATCATTTCTTATTCTGTTTTAAATAGCTGAGATTCTGATTGTGTGGATGCAGTGAATCTGATCATGAAATCATTGAACAAGAGTCATTGAACAGACGTTACTGATGGGATGTGTGATCAAATTAAATGTTTAGATATTAATAAAGCTTTGGGATTTTTCAAATATAAACAAAGGATATTGTTGTATTATTTCCACGGTGCCATACATCGCTGATGGAAAACTCACAGTTGCTTTGTACACATAATAACACATATATGCTGAGTGATACGGTATAATGCAGTACTGTACTTATTATCTACACAGTGTCTACATTTCGTCCACACAACCGGTCGGACTGCATACTAAAGCTCATGTCCACATTTTATAATAACTCTCACTGCCAGAAGGGTAGAAACTTGTCCACAGTGATATCATGTAAAATAAAACAACCTTAGTTTAGTTAACCTAGAGGCTGAATTTAAGTAACCTGTCAGTGTGCTACTAAGCTATTAAAACTAAAAAGCCTATTGTGTTTTTTAGTGTTTTCACTTTCCTGTAGTAGTGTGTTATTTAGGTTTTTGTGCATGTAACTCTACAAAGGCTACTTTATTGTCAGATCAAGTCTAAAATAGTTGTTGCTTCACAGATGCTTCATTTGCATTGTCAACAAAGACACATTTTTAAGACAAAAACAAGGGATTAGACATGTCACATCACATTACAACCACCTAAGACAATATGTTCGAGAATATTGAACATGTCAAATGTTACTGTTAACGAGTGCAAGATAAAAAGTATAAAATAGAAAATTGGGAAATACGTAAAATGGATAATCGTATGGACGACCTTGTGATTGACATGTTATCAAGGTGTGGTCCGCGTTTTGGTCTTATAACTTTAACCCTTTCACAGTTTGTTTTAAGTTAATCAAAATTGTAACATTTCAGTTAGACATATCTTGTTTAGCGATATCTTGTGATAAGTTCCATCAAAAACCAAGATGGTGACGACCAAAATAAAAGATGGCAACGGCAAAAATGTTAAGTTCAAGGTTTCAAAGTCGTAGTCCATAAAGCAGTGGATGCATCAAGCTGACCAAATTCACTTCTTTTATAAGGTCTATGGCATGAGTATTCAGGGGGTCAGTGACCCCTAGGGAATCTACTGCAGGGGGGGCAAACAAATATCAGTGGTTTTTTAACACACATTTTTCTAACGGATCCTTGTGCAATCAAGTGAGCTGTGTTCACTAATAAATCTGTGTGCTGCACGGATCTATAACAGAGAACTATAGTGAGCTGCTATTATTATTACAATAACTCTGTGCCATGAATTGTTTGGCACTTAAGGACACCTCAAAACATATGGTAGACCTATATTTTGCAACTAAATTATGTATGTATGTATTCATTGGTGATAAAATAATATTGAAAGATATTGTGCGCAAAGAAAATAGATAGAAAATATTCCAAATGTTTCAGAGATGACTCTTTAATGATGTCACAGCAGCAGCTGATCATCAGTGTGTAAAGTAAAACAAATGAAGCTCAGGAACAATGTTACCATTTATTTTTATTGGAGAAGCTCAGACAGACTCTGTTTAGAGTTTGAAGCTAATTACTGTTGATCACATTTCCGTGTTCGTCCACTTCCTGCGTGATGGTCATCACCCTGGTGCTCGTGATGGTCTTGGTAGTGGTGACGGGGCTGGGAAAGAACATATTCAGTTATTATAGCTTTATTTGTTACTTTTTTTTTCTTTTCTTTAGCTCATGTTAGCATGCAAACACGCTCAACTCAGCTGCACCTAGTGTTTACTGATAATAAGCTACTTTTAGCATGCTAACACCGAACTCAGCTACACTTTGTGTTTACTGATAATAAGCTCATGTTAGCATGCTAACACTTATTATTTCACTTACATTTTCATGATTTTCTAAACTTTAAATATGCAAGGTATATCTTTAATATTAGATGTAAATAGTGCACCTTGCTGATCTGCGCCTGCAGTTTGATCTCCAGACTCTGCGCTAATCGTCTGACCTCTCCAATCTCAGACTTGGTGGTGTGCAGCGTCTCAGTGCTCACAGAAACCTCTTGGTTCAGCTCGGCTGTCTGTGAGGAAAGGTTTGTTATTAAAGTTATGATCATGTACTTTGAGAAAAACGTTTTCAAACTAAAAACACTCATAGAAATCATAAAATAAAATAGAAAT